CTGTCTGTCTGTCTGTCTGTCTTCTGTCTGTCTGTCTGTCTTGTGCATCCTTGTCAGTGAATCGTGGTCCAGTTTCTGGTATTTGGTGTTTGTCTGTGTTTTAGGTATAAACTAACGCTGTGGTCGTGGTGCATTTGCTCCAGGGGTTCTTGTGTCCCTTGTTCTTAGGGGCAGTCATTATTGATGGATTTGGTATCAGTCCTTGCACAGAACACAGCTCCTTTTTATGTGTTTTTTGAGTACCTAAGATAAATCAGTTGTCAGCAACTTTTCCTTGGAACAGTGGCATTCTTGTGTTTTCTGATTCTAGGAATTAAGATCAGTACTCTAGACAATGAAAGCTACTTCAGAACTAGTCAAGATAGTTTTATGGCAATGTCATTCTAACTCTTCAAGAGTTATTGACATTTGAATGAGTTATTGACTCCTTTGTCTTACAGATTTTGTCATAAGCACACCGTGTCAGAGTCATAGACAAACATGCTTTCGTCTTTCCACAATGGCAGTTTGCTGAATAAATAAATTTTCAATTGCCACCATTTTGAGTGGTGGTAATTTCCCAGATAATCCCACTTTCCTTGGTTATCTGGCTAAGATGAACATAGGTTCTTCTGGTTTTTTTAAAGGATTGATTAATTTATTTGTAAATAAAAATGAATTCATGTGCACTGTGTGTGCAGGTGCCTTTAGAAACAGAGGAGGGCATCTAATTCCTTATATTTTATTTATTTATTTATTTATTTTGAGTCAGGGTTTCTCTGTATGGCTTTGGAGCCTGTCCTGGAACTTGATTTGTAGACCAGGCTGGCCTCGAACTCACAGACATCTGTCTGCCTCTGCCTCCTGAGTGCTGGGACTAAAGGTGTGTGCCACCACCATCTTGCTTGATCCCTTGTATTCTTGGTGATATGGTGACTAGTCAAAATGCCTGGAATTACTAGTACATGTAGGCAGTTGTAAGCTCCCAATGTAGGTGCTGGGAACCAAACCCAGGTCCTCTGCAAGAGCAATAAATGTTCCTAACCTCTGAACCATCTCTCCCATCTCCTAAAATGGGGTTCTTTAATCTGGTCTTTATTAACTCATTATTACAGATCACTGTTAGAACACAAAATGTATGGTTGAGAAAGGAGCTGACATGAAATTATTCTTAAGAGTGTGCTTATTAGGAGGGAAGGAGGGGACAGAGGGACCTGAAGGGGGAGTGCAAGCCTTCAGGTCTGGAAAGGAGTCTAGTAAGAGAAAGGGCTGTCGTGAAGGAAAGCCTTTAAACCCCCTCCACAGCCTCAAAACAAAGTTTGTGACTTACAGCTTTTTGGTGAGTGGTAGTTCCTTACCACCTGACTGTATAACTTAGCCTCTTGGCAGGGAGCCAAACACTAGGCAGGCCCATTAACAGTAGCGAGGAGACAGGGCTCTAGCCATATCAGGGCCATGTCAGCTCTTTTGGCATGCACTAGAGCAAAGTTGTGGTCTGATAGTCTGGAAGACAGAGAGGGGCAGGTAAAGGGGGTCTGTGATCTAATACATCATATAGTAAATACATGTATGTATATACAGATTACAAGTGGATAGACAAGGCTGCTGCAGAGTTCCTAGCGGTTTCAAAAAGAAGCCGATAGAAGTGCATGAGGGTGTACATTGACGAGATAGTGGACCTAAACCAGGGGCAGGGAGGAGCTGCTGCTGCAGTCAGTCCTCTGGCTCACAGATTTGGAAGAAGCTTCAGAGTTGAGTCCTGGCAAAGGAATAGTGAGACATATGGGTGGAAGTCAGCAGTTAAGTAGACTGAACAGGAGGGACTTAGCTAAATGACAGACCTAAGGACAGCCAGTCCTGTCAGTCTCCATGCATGCATCAGGTGTCAGGTGACCGGCAGAGGCCATGGCCATCGTAATTGTGCAAGCTGATCACTTACACAGTCTAGACAAAGGAGCTAGACCATTTCCTCTGTCTGGTGTGTTCAGTAAATTCTTGGACCTGGTCTTCCTGGTAGGATTTTAATACACTCATTTGCCTGTATAGGCTCAATTCACTCAAATTTATGGGGCGCTGGGCGCCCTTTCTATTTTCAGGAATACCTCATTTCATCAGTCTGGGCAACTTGAATGGTGCTGTACCCATTGTGATATTTGTGGGGTCAACCAGGTATTTCCAGGGTCACTGAATTCTCCTTTTGGGGTTCTTAGTCTCATTAATAATAATTTAAAAAGTAGAAATGGAAAGTGCTTTGAGAACCGTTTTATTAAAGTTGAGAAGCATGGTACAAAGTAAGCGAAAATCCTGGTGGCCACATAGAGGAGAGATGGGAAAAAAGCCATTCCTTTTAAGTTCATGGTGGAACAGAAATTGAGGCAGCTCATTGAGAAAGGAGAAAATCATTCCCAAGAGTGGAAGAAGAACAAAGCTTATTTTTTAAAAGATGGAAGTAGGCTAGTGAGCTGAAGAACGCTCCCAGTTACATGGTGTCTTACAGCTCCCTCCCTCCCACCCCTATTCTACCCCCTGCACCCGGCTCCCGTCTGTATTTCATGGTTAGTGTCTTGTGCTTTCTGTTCATCAGATGATCCTGGAAAGGGAAGGGCTTCCTTCCTGTTGCTCTTTTCCCGGTTGTTACTCTCCCATCAATGTAACTAGAGTCTCTCATGGCAAGGGCCACCCTAAAAATTCACTGTTTCATACTGTATGAAGTAAATCAGAACAAGGCACAACATGACCTCAACAGTTTTACAGCAAGAGAACATAAATATACTTGGAAAGGATTTGCGTTGATAATCAATTTCTAGAAATGAAAAGAGTGAATGTAGCCAGCATTAATATTTATTAGATAAAAGGTCCCCTACACAAAAGTATCCATAACTCTAGTAAACAATTTTTCTAGTGCATTGTGGGTGTTTTTGCATTTCCTTGTAAGTCCTAAAGCTATGTGTTTTTGTTTTTGTTTTTTTTGAAAAAAAAAAAAACTGACAACAGACTTTATTTTGAAAGACTTCATGTCTCCTTAAAATTTACCTGTTATTTTGTAATTACATTGTAACATTCTGCTAATGCCTTCACCAACTGACTCACTGGTTTCTGACACAAGAAAATTTGCTAATTGTGTGGTCTGTACCTCCAGACTCTAGCTGTATTATAACAAAAACAGGATTTACAACAAGACTTTTATCTTATATGTCAGGCGTGTAGCACACCTGTTTAATACCAGCACTCAGGAGACAGAGGCAGGCAGATGTCTGTGAGTTCGAGGCCAGCCTGGTCTCCATAGTGAGTTCTAGGCTAGCCAGGAACAAGGGTTTGTCTTACAGTATTTGTAGAATTATTTCTGTTTTTCTTTTTTCTTGTGTATATGTATAGTGGGAAATTACCAATTCGGAGCCAAGTAGAAATATAAGGGTATTTAATAGGGAAAAGCCTAACTTACAGAGC